CTCCAGCATCGGCAGTTCCTACTACCTCTTTAGGTTTTTTGTAAATTGGTTTTAAAAGTATTTACATATATGAATGCATTGGGACGTAACTGGGACAAATTAAACCTACAGACATGGTGCCAAGGCTCACTTCTAACAGTCTACTCTGTTTCTCCATTGTTATTTTTTGCTAATCTTCTACTAAAGTTATATGGGTAGATTTAGAGAATTTCCACTAAAATTCCAGGCCATTGACTCTAAGAACATGGTGAGAATAGCTTCTCATGTCACTCAATTATTGCACTTTCAAAATGTACATAGCTCAATTCGGGCTCCTGTTACACTACATCCACCAGTCTGAAAAGCACATCATATGTCAGGCAACATATTACCAAAGGAATACTGTGGGCAGTATTGTCTTATGCTCAACTGGCATGAGACTCTTTGGACATTTATTATCTACAGCAAGCCTTATTCCTCAATCAGCACATTTTTTAATGTTTAGACAGCAAAGTTGGGAACACTAACAGGCTCTTCATGAAAACAGTTGTGTGGTAAGTTTATAAAATGGCCAGATTCTCCAAGTAACTGTCTGAACATCTCAAACAATCTAATACAGCACAGTACACACATCAAGGAGCCTTTCTCCTGAAATTACTGGAGGAGATTTCACTCCAGTACTGTGCTCCAGGATCAGGATCATAAATTTGCAATAAAGTCCTGCTATTTGTGTATCTACCTGACTTTTGTGAATTTGCTCATTTGTGCATCATGTATTGTACATCTTTTTGCCCACTGCAAGTCTAATGACAATTTGCTTGTCCAGTTTTAAACAAAAAAAGCACATACTTCCTGGAATAGAAAGTGTGCACTCTGTGTTTCTTGCTATGTGCATACACTGCCCATTACTTTTGCAGGAAATAGCTTACAGGGTTTTTGAGGAACATTAGGATTGTGAAGTGTGGGGCTTCATTGTAATTACAAAGACATATTGTTAATATGCATTGATAGTTTCTCCCCACTTTGAGGAGCTGTGGAGAGATTTGAGATAGAAGTTCAACTCTCTGTTGCCTCAGCCAACTGCCTTTTGATCCTGTCAGCATTTTGTTCCAAAGGGAGTTTTTAAAATTGTATTCCTCAGCCAATCTGTAAGGCCAATTTTGGCATGATTTTTTAAATTCATCTTCTGATAAAAGTCATATTAAACCAGCGCGATTCAACACATCTTACCTCAGATTCCTCATCCTCTTTTCCTAAATACAGCAATCCAGAATAAACCAGACCTCAAGGGCTGACTGCCGTTACTGGGTTGTTTGAAAAAAAGTGTTTGACCTTTGGTCCCTTTAAATCTATGATATTTCTCTTGCCTGTTTTTCATCATCAACATCTTGTACTTACTCAAGTTCTGTAAGTCCAGAACACTGTTCAAGTATCAAACAGAGGTTTCCCATGGTTTCAACATCCATATCCCAATCTTCAAGTCTACAATGCAAAGGACCAAATTTAATTGAAGGATAAAGCATTAAAAAGCAATGCTGCACACAAAAGACACTAAATTTCTGAAATGATTGGTAAGAATTCCTTGTATCTTTGAATGAAATTAGTTATTTCAAACACTCTTTCATGCTTTAAAAAGGTTCTGCAACTACATCATATATTTATGACGAAATATTCATACCTAATTTTTTTTGGCACGGATATATCCTGTTTTCCACATTGTGTTTCAAACGACAATGATGATTCTTGAAATTCTTTATTCCTTTGAAGTCTAGAGAAAGTGAAACAAAATAAACCATCTGACCATCACTTCCTATATTTTCAATCTGATAAACATTAATTTTCTACCTTTTTTTTGTCAGAGTTTATCACTAAGCCAAACGGGAAATCAGAAGTCTTCATACTGCACAGAGTTATGCAAAGGTCCTGAAAATTTTTGCATGTGATGAGTATGACTTCTCAGGTATCATCCTTGTCAATCTAAATCTGTCTTTGCTAGTCCCTCTCTATCTTTATTCTAAACATAGATACCGAGACAGTGCAAACTCTCCCACGGAACAGAGAGCAGCAAAAATGAGAAGGATAATTTTGAGCTCCAGGTAATGAACTGAGACTTAACAGAACTCAGCTTGACTGTATTGGGAAAAAATTTGCAAGGAAACATAATTCAAGTCCACAACAGAAGAGGCATTTATAGTTTGAAGATTACCTGATGGACACAGTGCCTTTTTCTTCTTCTATATGTTTGCATTGAATAATATTGTGAACACATGAAAACTGAGTGTAAGCGAGTCAATTGGCATCCAGACCAAAGGGCTGGACTTATCTCTTCCCCTGACGTGTTTGAAGGTAGAGGTCAGATTAATCCATGGGGAAGCCTACTCACTGGCTCCACTTCCCATTATAGTTATACCAATAACAGGGTAACTGCAGAACAGCCTGTCTGCTAGTGTTCACTTAAGGAACTCCCCACAAATCTGAGACTGTCATCATTCTCATTTAATATTCCCAAAAACTGGCCCTTATGCTTATTATAAAAAGCTGCTTGTCCAATCTTTCAAAATGCAAAATGGCTGTTCTGCAAAACAATTGCTGCACTTCACTGCAAAGTAGCTCATGTCTGTGAAGTTCTTTGTGATATTTGGGAGGTAACACTGATAATTCAAAGAAGAGTCAAATTACCTGCATTTCCCGTGGAACTTAATTAATCCTTTTCCATTCTTGCCCAGGCTAAAACAGGAATGAAAAGATAGGTGACATCTATTTAACATCAAACTGATATCAGTTAAAATGCGTATTATTCTAAATCTTGCCTCCTACAAGTCACCATCACCCTCATTGAAATAAATATCCCAGATATCACTTGGTCAACTTCCTACCCAACAGCATAGTGCAAGTATTTACAATTCACTGCTGTTACCATCTCAGTACCATCTTCTCCAGAGTTACAAAGGATCACCAAAACACAAAATTAAATAAATAGACACATGATTGTGAGGGCAGACTGCAGTCTCTGGGAATCTGGGTTTTCAAGTTAATTTGGACAAGGGCATAACTGGAGCTGATATTAACCTTAGCTTTAAGCAGGTAAGGAATTTTATTGAAATGGTTTTGCTGACCTGTGCATATCAACTACTTTGGTAGTGGGGACTTTACTGCAGCTGTTCAAACACAAACTTAGCCAATGTTGCTATAAACAAAACCTTTTACTAAATCTCTGAGGTAACACTAGCAAACATTGTACATCATGTAAGTATTAGAAGCTGTACTCCCACTCATTCCATTAGGTGAAAATTATCTCCTGAACCATTTCAATGCTGTGTAGATGTGATGGTAAACTTCATTTGCTCTGATGACAAAACAAAGCGAGTGTTCTGTATACTAAACAACTGGTATTTATAACCTAGAGAGCTACCTAAAAAGGAAAGGCCATTGACAAAATGAAACAGTCTTTGACTCAAATACTGGGATTATTCGCTGGGATTTTCCCCAATCAGCTGATGGAAGATAAATGGAAATCTAGTTGACCCAGGGTTTCCAACAATCTTCCACCAACAGTGCAGCAACCAATCAGGAGGGGCACCTGCCAACCCAAAATTGCCTCCCTCCCTTCCTCCCAGGCTTCCCCTGAAAATGTCTAGCCTGAGTCACTAACTAGAAACTTATTGACCTTTTCTGTTATTCTAATGGAGAATCACAGGTTTATAATGTACATCAATTAAAACCTATTGTGGCTGTAGCCTTTTTTTTAATGTAAGGGGAACAGGGATTCCATATGTGAAAGAAGATTCTAATTTGCATTTCCAATCTGGTGCTAGCTTTTTACTCCACACTTTGGCACTGGAGGGCACTTTGGTGTGCACTGGTTGGGAATGTAATTAGGTGGGTAAGTAAAGAGCGAAGTCTCCATTAAACAATAGGACCTCAGCTTCTTTGATCTTGGAATAATCCTCAGAAGGAAGGCATTCTTTATCTGGTCGAGAAGATTGCACATAGTCTGTGGGACAAATGGTCTTCGCTCCAGCAGTGTTCATTTTGTTCCTTTGTGCGTTTAAGTTAACTTGTTTTTTTAAAGTTTCCATTTGAGAACATCTTACTTGTGCTTAACAATTTTAGCTTCATCATCAGACAATGGAGTTGTCCCACACGGCCTACACGGACTTTAAAGTTGGAAAATACAGATTTTCTTCTTGAATGGATTGTAATCAAAGACAAGCTCACCTTAGTTCCACCTCTGTTATGTTTCTGACACTGTTCAGACACCCAGCCAAGCACAGAACTCCAGCCAATGAGATGAAATTATTGCTGATGCTGCAGTGAACATTGAAAATTACTTTGGACATTGAGATTCATGTTGTACGTGTACTTGCTATAGTTACCAACCAGTTTAAACCATCAATGATATTAAGTATAAATCTGTTCACACACATTTTAATCCAATTGTTTTAAAAACTGAAAGTCAATTCATCCCAAGGAGGCCAAAATGTTGGAACTTATATTGAAAGAATAGTTGCCTAGAGATAAATTTATGTTTGCTGTCCTGTTCTTTAATCACATACCTTCCAATAACCAATAGTTAGTAATCCCATTTATTTTGCAACCTCTATCAGGTGCCAATATTGGCCCTCCCTTGGACATCAATTTCCCCTTGATTAGTCCTTGTGATGCAGGTTAAGGAAGTGTATCAAAGGTTTGCTTGCTAATCAAAGATTTAGTTGGCCTTTAACCTGGACGATGGTCTTTGCAGCCATTCAGCTGGCAGGGAAAGAGATGCATCAGAGATTTTGCTGTTCCACAATGATACCTTTCGTTAAGTCACGTTGCCCAAAAGGCGAGCTGACCTTATAGTCAACACGGTTTTGCGAAGGGTAGGTCGTGCCTCACAAACCTTATTGAGTTCTTTGAGAAGGTGACCAAACAGGTGGATGAGGGTAAAGCAGTTGATGTGGTGTATATGGATTTCAGTAAAGCGTTTGATAAGGTTCCCCATGGTAGGCTATCGCAGAAAATATGGAGGCATGGGATTTGAGGGTGATTTAGCGGTTTGGATCAGAAACTGGCTAGCTGTAAGAGGACAGAGGGTGGTGGTTGATGGGAAATGTTCATCCTGGAGTTCAGTTACTAGTGGTGTACCTCAAAGATCTGTTTTGGGGCCACTGCTGTTTGTCATTTTTATAAATGACCTGGATGAGGGCGTAGAAGGATGGGTTAGTAAATTTGCGGATGACACCAAA